AGTTATTGACCCTCCCGAACGGATAAAGGATATCGTCTCAAAATATGTCAACTTCGAAAGCTTATTTCAAAATCGTGGCACTTGATTGGCACATGACTTTAACTTTTCTATAAACTACTAACATTAGTCAACACAAATCGCCAGTAATATCTTTCTGCTGTACCATTTGACAAAAATGACAAGCGCGCAAACTTTGTAAAATTTGAAAATGTGTCGAATCGAGCATACTTTATTGGTAAACATAATTATTGATATAAACAGATAAAATCACCTTACACTACACTGAATGAATCTTCATTATGTAAATACATGTCTTTCATCATTATTCTTTGGTTTGGCGCTTGTATCAAATTGTTTGAGTACAGTTTGGCTTGATGGATAGAGTCATTCAATGCCAGTGTGTCCAGTGTCTTCTGCGCGCCTCAATACCACGAGTCCTGATTGTGACATACTATACAATCTTCGCCCTATTCGCTTTGTTTACCTCTTTAACAAATACATGTTTAACAAATAACAATATTCAATGAAATTGGAAAACTCAGAATTAGTCATACTACAGACAGAATTTTCACCGTTTTTAAACTGTTTTATAAAAGTTTCGTTAGAATGTACGAATTAAATCTCGGGGAAAACCCCGGGCAATGATGTCAAATGTCAATATTTCGTTAGTTTCGCTCAGTATAGTTTTCTAGCAACTGAATTGTCTCTAGGTTTAGAAACAATTATCAATGAAACTAGAATTCAAGTAAGTCACGGTTCTGGATAAAAAAATCAACTTTTTCAGGCCGACCCTGGGTCACTTTGCTCAAGGCTATGCTACAAGAATTTACATTATTTCTTATTGTATAAAAATATGCGAATATTTTGATATAATACAAAACAATTCAGCGCAAACAGCTGTAACCCATTTGAACGTCTCAGTTATTTAATCAATGTTATTCCTTTTTTCAGTAACAATTAGAAAGGTTCTGAAAATTAGAATTAATTTATATTCTTCTTTCCGACAAGCTTTAAAGGGTGACAAATTTGCAAGTGATAACTAATGTCATCTTACACCGGCGCCAGCAACTTCGAAGAACAGTCTACTGTGTCTCGGAATTTTCCACACTCAGAAGTAGAAAAGGAACATTTCTACATTATTGCTTACCGTCATTCTCATCTGTCAACATAAAATCTACTGTCTGTCGAAATCGTTTAAGGCCCTGTCACACTATTGCGTATCGTACTAGCGTATGCCAGCGTATGAAAAATATCACTCATACGCCGGTATACGCTGACATACGCTAGGGGTACGCTAGGTATAGGTTGTATACGTTTCAAGCACGGTCGCATACGGTGGCATATAGCGAGGCAGAAAATTTTTTTAAGCATGTTCAAATATTTTGTGCGTATCGGACGTATGCTTTATACGATAAGCATACTCTAGGCACACGCTCAATACGCTAGAGGTACGCCAGATGTACGGTACTCATACGCTGGCATTGCAAAGGATTTTTGTGCGTATGAAAATTATTCATTGATTTTCATACGCTTCTCATACGTTTCTCTCATACGCATTAGTGTGACAGGGTCTTTAGGTTTACCTAAAGGCCCTGTCACACCATTGCGTATCGTACTAGCGTATGCCAGCGTATGAAAAATATCACTCATACGCCGGTATACGCTGACATACGCTAGGGGTACGCTAGGCATAGGTTATATACGTTTCAAGCACGGTCGCATACGGTTGCATACGCTGGCATACGCAGAGGCAGAAATTTTTTTAAGCATGTTCAAAAATTTTGTGCGTATTGGACGTATGCTTTATAAGATAAGCATACTTTAGGCACACGCTGAATACGTTAGAGGTACGCCAGATGTACGGTACTCATACGCTGGCATTTCAAAGGATTTTTGTGCGTATGAAAATGATTTCATTAATTTTCATACGGTTCTCATACGTTTCTCTCATACGCAATATAGTGTGACAGGGCCTTAACGTTGCATGATCACAAATTGCGGCTGTGGTAGAAGTAGAACACCATTATTGTAATCACAAAAACCTCGTGCAATACTGTCTAAGACTACTATTTAATTCAATACAAAGAAAGGGAAATCAGAGAGCAACGAAACATTTCATCGTCATTTGATTGACATGTTTACGCTCAGCGAGTACATTTCTTTCGGTTAGGAGTTTTCCCCGAGATTAATTCGTACATTCTATAAAACGAAACTTTATATAAAAGTTTAAGGTAAACAAACCAATGAAAGTTATGTCTGTAGTATGACTAATTCTGAATTTTCTAATTTCTTTGAGACATTTTATTTACAGGAGGTAAACAAAGCGAACAGAGCGAAGTTCGTATGTCACAATCAGGACTGATGCCGTCATGGCATTGAGGCGCGCAGAATTTGAATACACTGGACACACTGGCATTGAATGACTATCCTTGAAGCCAAACTGTACAGTCAAACAATTTCATTCGAGTGCAAAACCAAAGAATAATGATGAAAGACATATATTTACATAATCAAGCTTCATTCAGTGTAGTGTAAGGTGGTTTTATTTGTTAATATCAAGAATTATGTTTACCGATAAAGTATGCTCGATTTCGACACATTTTCAAATTTTACAAAGTTTGCGCGCTTGTCATTTTTGTCAAATGGTAGAGCAGAAAGATATTATTGGCGATTTGTGTTGACTAATGTTAGTAGTTTATAGAAAAGTTAAAGTCATGTGCCAATCAAGTGCCACGATTTTGAAATAAGCTTTCGAAGTTGACATATTTTGAGACGATATCCTTTATCCGTTCAGGAGAGTCAATAACTGCGCTGTTTTCTATTTTATACCAAAGAATAATGATCTAAGTCATATCACCCGCGAAAATAGAAGGATAAGTCTATATTTCTGAGCAAAAATTTTGAAATTTAGGTATGAATTTGATTTAAAAAATAGCGCTGAAAATATGTCGATATTTGGCCTTCATTCGGAGTATCAAGTTGGTTACCAGTCGATCGAACATCAATCGCCCCCCCAAAATAATTTAAAGGAAATTTGAGTAAAATGACATCGATTTTAGTTGTTCCCAAGGATAGATCTTCAAAATACTAGAGTATGAGAGAAATCTATTTTTGAGCCCCATACTGACCTGGAGGTTTTTACGGAGACAGCCTCTTAATATTTATATATTAATAATGAGTATCCTTAAATGTTCAGTAATTCCGGATTTGACCAGTCCTTATCTCTGCAACAAAATATATAATAATAATAATAATAATAATAATAATAATAATAATAATAATAATAATAATAATAATAATAATAATAATTATAATAATAATGGAAACTTTATTTTGACATTTTATTTATATACAATTGTAAATCTCACTAATTAAGGTAATTTATAATTAACTACTTGAACAATTAATTATTGATAAAACTATATTACAGTTATTAAAACTAAGAGAAAGCTCATTCTTAAATGTTCATCAAGTCCGGATCGGTCCAATCCTTGTTTCTACAACAAAATATATAGTACGTTGTTCTGATGGTGATGGACATTATTTTCCTAACACAAAAGTTCAGATGTTTTTTATCAAGACCAACTTCGTTCAACATTTTCATAAACGTGCTACATTCTTTTGAGAAAACACCTAAGTCACTAATAGACAAATTAATAAATTTGACAGTTTTTAAATGGTCTTTCTGCTGCGTAATTAGATCTTTGTATCTTTCCCTTTTGCGATCGACGTTGTTTTGGAGATTTGATTCATATCCGACAGAGAGTTCGAGTATGTACAGACAATCATTTGAAATCGAAAGAAGTTGATCTGGGCGATAAGTGTCACCGGTTATTATTGATGGTCTCTTGTATCCAGGAAGATCAACAAATAGCGTGGAGTTGTGTTCAGGTTGGAATATTTTTGCGACAAAATTGAGAATGGAGTCATGTCTCCAAGTAAATCGTTGAAGGTATGACTGGCATCCCGCGACTACATGCAGAAGGGTTTCAGGGTTCAGGCAGAGGGAACAATCCGAGTTTGACATTATTCCCCATTTTGTGAGGTTTTTGCGTGTGGGAAGAGTGTTGTTGATGTAACGGATGGTGAAGTAATAATAATAACAACAACAACAACAACAACAACTACTACTACTACTACTACTACAACAACAACAACAACAACAACAACAACAACAACAACAACAACAACAACAACAACAACAACAACAACAACAACAACAACAACAACAACAACAACAGCAGCAGCAACAGCAACAACAACAGCAACAACAGCAGCAGCAGCAGCAGCAACAACAACAACAACAACAACAACAACAACAACAACAACAACAACAACAACAACAACAACAACAACAACAACAACAACAACAACAACAACAACAACAACAACAACAACAACAACAACAACAACAACAACAACAACAGACCGCATTCCTTCCTAAGCGTGACAAGACGTGCCTAAAATCGCTCTGCGAAATTGTGAAATAATTTGTTCAAAATTAGTGAAATGAGTTCTGATCAAGGCAAAGCCTTGATCAGAACTACCGTCCTGCACGGTATATCAATAAATAATAAAGGAAAACCGATATGGACCGAATCTTATCAATTATTACAGACATTTGTCAAAGAAGTACTGAACTTATCGAATGGCGTATGGTCTTGCCCTGGTGGGGACGCGAAACAGTATAAAGCTGAAGATATCGATATAAGATGGTACCCGGAAACCCAATCAAGTTAAATGGAAAGGCTAAGGACGAGATCAATGAAAAGTTGCTCTCTGTAGCTGCTATACAAGTACAGTTGGCGAGCACTGTAAATGAAGATTTCGACCAGAACGGCCATGTTGATGAGACCATAACTCACTCTTCCCAAAAAGACAATAGCACTCTTTCCCTAGAGACTCTCAACAGTCAATTAGAAGCCATATCCAAAGACGTCAATGCAAATGCGACAGCCATTAAGTTGTTTACCGAACATGCTAATGCACACAATACAGAAATGGATAATCTAAAGATGGAAAATCACAAGCTTATAAATGAAAACATTGACCTCAAAAGCGATAACAACAACTTGAACGAGAGAGTGAAAAATCTAAGCTATATCTTGGCAGGTTTGCAGGGAAAGGCCAAAATCGCTGAGGATGAAAAGGATTCCCTAATTACTGCTATGCGATTACTCATCGAATACCTCAATTACAAAGACTCGAATCACAAAGAAAGCGCGATAAATGCGAATCGTAACGAAGAAATGGTACAAACGTGCCCACAAATGGCAAATTGTTTACAGCAGACAAACGAAGTGATTAATCCGAGTATTAATTTAAGCAATAGGTATTCCGCCCTAAGTTTTGACGAAAACAACGTAAGCGATCGCAATGCCCGGGATGCTGTAAGAAACGAAGTTGAACATACATATATGCAAATACCCACCGATCAACGCAGACACCCAATCGTAAGCAAAACCAATCACACAATACAGAAATGGACAGGGAAAATTCAACTCAACATCGCGATAATCAAACGAAACAACGGACTGACCACCGAAATCGTCCCAACGTAGTCATAGTGGGAGACTCCATGATCAAACACATAGAGCCGGCAAAGCGCCGACAAGGTCTTAAGTGTGGAGTAACATTCAGAACTTTTGCGGGAGCTAAAACAGAAGATATGAAGTACTACCTACAACCTACATTAAAAGCTAAGCCTAGCCATCTTATTCTTCATGTTTAATCTAGTGGAAGCTTTAGTTTAGCATTTGTAAAATCAAATGCCGCCTAAGAAGAACAGGAATACGTCAAAACATGAAAATTCTGATGGTAAAAGCATGGCTGAAAGTGCGACATCACCGAACGAGAAAGCTACACTCGAAGCAATATTGGACAGTCGCCTTAAAAAACAGTTTGACCAGCTGAATGACTTATTCTCAACATTCTCGAGATCGACCAAAAATGACTTGGATGAAATTAAACAAAGCCAGCACTATCTAGGCTCTAAATTTGATGTTTTGGCCACTTCTATGAGTGAGCTTCGAGCCGAAAACGTCGAATTACGTACAAGTAATCTGCAGTTAATCGAAAAAGTAAAGCTGCTAGAGGAGAAAACTGATGTTTCCGAAGGCGAAATAGAAAACTTAAAACAATATTTCCGAAGGGACATGCTGGAAATCCACGGCATTCCAGTCACCGAAGGCGAAAATACGAACGAAATTATATTAAAGGTTGTTAAGCTCGCCGACCATTCAATGGCATTCGACCAAAACGAAATTTCAATCAGTCATCGTTTATCCTCGCGCCAGGGTCAAATTCCCCCCATTATCGTTAAATTCGTCCGTAGAGACATATAAGAGATAAAATTTATTACATGAGGCGTAACCTGTAGACAAAATCTACAGCTGACCTTGGATTTCTTGAAGAACATCGTATCTATATCAACGAAAGCCTGACGCAAAAATCTCGTGAATTGTTATGGAAAGTTAAAGAGTATAAACGTGAGAATCGTTGCAAATACGTCTGGACGAAGTATGGAAAAGTCTTTTTAAAGAAAGATGCCATTCCTTCTTCCCAAGTATTTTCCTTCTCCACTCTAAAAGACTTTGATCAATTTAAAGCTGGCCTTAACTCTCGTCAACAACGACAACCATAGTGGACTCAAGATAAGTTTTACTTTTATTATATCGCGTGTAATTTATAATCTTTTGGTTTAATATGTCTGTAATGCTCAATTTTCCTTTTAGTCATCTTGATGATGACGAGTTTGATCTGGTGTTATATGAGTTTGAAAACGGCCCGGTACGATTTGATGAAGATAGGTTATCCTCACTGGTGTTTAATCCGTTGCTGTTTGATCACAACAGTAATATTGCCATATGGGGTGACTTAGATGCGGATACTAATTATTATTCTCATGTATCCCAAAGCTGCGATTATTACACTGAACACAAATTAAGCGACTTATTGTCTACCAAGGCAGCGTTGCCAAACAACAACTGTCTTTCGATTCTCCATTTAAATATTAGAAGCTTAACTCGGAATTTTGACAATTTATTAAACTCGCTTGCAATTATTAAACATCAATTTTCTTTTATTGGCGTTTCGGAAACTTGGCTTCGCCAAGATGAGCACCATGCTTGTCTTGACGGATTTAATTTCGTACATAATTATAGGCCCAATAAAATAGGTGGAGGCGTTGGTCTTTATTTAGCAAATGAGTTTCAATTTCATTTACGTCATGACCTTGCTTTTGACGATACAGCATGTGCTGAAAGTATGTTCGTTGAAATTCATAAACCAAACGGGAAAAATATTATTGTTGGAGTTATATATAGGCCTCCTAATGAAAGTGTTGATGAGTTTATTAACAATACAGACAAACTAATTTCTATTATTTCTAAAGAAAATAAAATGTGCTACATAATGGGTGATTTTAATTTGAATCTATTAAATTATCATAGCCACCAACGCACTGGTGAATTTCTCGATATTATGTACTCCAATATGTTTTTCCCGTTAATTACTCGGCCTACTCGCATTACATCTAATTCTGCTACTCTCATTGATAACATTTTCACAAATAATCTAGAAACTTATTCATTTAGCGGTCTATTATTCACCGATATTTCGGACCATTTACCAATTTTTGGCTATTTTAGTGATCAATCAGTTGAAAATTATGGTGACGTTTAAGCATATGTAACATTCCGTGATAGGAGTTAGACTAACTCGTTAAAATTTCAAGACCTTCTCAGAAATCACAGATGGTCTGATATTGAGGGATACAATGATCCAAATTATGCTTATGATAGTTTTCATTCTGAGTTCATGCGTATATATAATACCGCCTTTCCCTTGAAAAGAATTAAAGCAGCAAGGTTCAAAAATAAGCCCTGGCTATCCAAGGGTATCCACAAGTCCATAAGAAAAAAAAATAAGTTGTACAAGAAATTTCTACGTGTTCCTACTCCTCTAAATGAGGATAGGTACAAAAAGTATAAAAACAGGCTTACTCATGTATTACGTACCTCCAAACGTTTTTATTATGAGGAGAAGCTGGAATCTAATAAATCCAACATTAAAGCAACTTGGAAAATTATCAATGAAATCATTAATAAGAAAAAGCGCAGAACCCCGTTGCCATCAACATTTACTGATAACAATTTAAATCTAAATGTCACCAATCCTTTAGACATCGCCAATAGGTTTTGTCACTATTTTACCAACATTGGCCCGAATTTAGCTGTAAACGTACCTAGCTCAGAGAAATCACCAGCCAGCTATTTATCTGGAAATTTTGTAAACTCGTTGTTTTTCGAACCCGCCGATGAATCGGAAATAACTGAAATAGTTAGTTCCTTATGTTCAGGGACTGCGGGAGGTTACGACAATATCCCGATGTGGACCATAAAGGACTTTATTCATTTTATTTCTAAACCTATCACCCACATTGTCAATTTATCTATACAATCCGGTATTGTTCCTGACCAGATGAAAGTTGCAAGGGTTTTACCAATTTTTAAATCCGGTGAGGGTAACTTTTTCTCAAATTATCGACCTATCTCAATCTTACCTGTGTTCTCTAAAGTTCTTGAAAAGGTTGTATATAATCGTTTATTGCATTATTTAAATAAGCAAAATATCTTGTTTGAAAATCAATATGGCTTCAGAAAAAATCATTCCACTTCGCATGCTTTAACTAATTTATTGGACAAAATTGCAACTGCATTTGATAATAAAAAGTTTACTATTGGAATATTTTTAGATTTATCCAAGGCTTTTGATACTGTTGACCATGAAATACTCTTTCTAAAATTGGAGCATCATGGCATTCGAGGATTGGCCCTTGAATGGGTGAAAAATTATTTTTCTAATAGACAACAATATGTTGAATATAATGGTGTTCATTCATGTAGTAATAATATTAAGTGCGGTGTTCCTCAAGGGTCAATCCTTGGACCTCTACTATTCTTGATCTATATGAATGACATATGTAATGCCTCCATGATCTCCAAATTCATTTTGTTTGCTGATGACACTAATGTATTTTATTCTGATAGTGAATTACCAGCCTTAGATAATGTCATCAAAAACGAAATGAAGAATCTATCTGAATGGTTTCTTGCCAATAGATTGACTATTAATATCAAGAAATCCAGTTATATAATCTTTACTCCTCGGCAAAGGAGGCAGATGCTTGATTTATCTTTTGAAATAAACAATCATAAATTAATAAGAGTTAAAGAAACCACCTTTTTGGGTATAATTTTGGATGAGCATTTGTGCTGGAAGTCTCATATTTCCCATATTGCGAGTAAAGTATCTAAATCCATCGGGATCATTTACAAATCAAGCTTTTGCCTCATCCGTTCTGCTTTGCGTACACTATACTTTGCACTTGTTTATCCTTACTTTAATTACTGTATTACGATATGGGGCTCGACATATCCCTCCAATCTTAATCGCCTCATTTTACTTCAGAAAAAAGTCATTAGAATATTATGTAATGTAACGTTTGACGCTCATACATCACCCTTATTCAAATCTTTAAATTTACTCAAGTTTAATGATATATATTTCTTGAATTTGGGTAAGTTTATGTTTTCTTATAAAAGTAATCTCCTCCCACAAAGCTTTATCATTTTTTTTTCAATTACTGATCAAGTCCACACTCGCAACTTACGTAGTGCTGGTCAATTCTATATTCCATTTTGTAGAACTAAGACCAAACAGTTCACTATAAAATACCAAGGTCCTAAATTTTTTAACTCATTGGATCCTGATATCCGTAATACTCCAACAGTTCTATCATTTTTGTCCAAGCTAAAAAAATACTTTTTTGATTTGTACTAAATTTTGGTACTTTATTTAATAATCATGTTAATTACAAGTATTTGTATATCATTCAATTACTATATATTTCCACCGTAGTGTTTGACTATATCCATTTAATTTGTATCTTGTATTCCGTGTGCTGCTTGTACATATTCTGTATATTTATTTAAACTATGACGGGGTAATGCAATATCCAATAAGCCTTTTGGCTTCTATTTGGGTTCCCTCGCCACAAATTTCAATTTTTTTTTAACAAATTTTTTTGTTTTCTTTGTGTGTTACTTTTGTAATTTCTTTTGTGGCAAAATTATTAAATCAAATCAATCAATCAACGACCTCTCTGGGAAATCGCCTGAAGAGATTGCTCAAAATATTTCAGAATTGGGGAAAGCCGCGACTGAGCAAGTCCCTTGTCTCAAGCTCAGTATATCAGAAATTATAACGAGATCCGACCGTAAAGACAATGATCAGAAGGTACAAAAAGTAAATTCATTAGTCGAATCGTCATGTTATCTACAACATGTGAATTTGTTAAACACTCGAATATTAATAAGAGTCACTTAAAACAAGGAGGGTTGCACCTAAATAGGAGAGGTACTGCTGTACTTGCCCAAAACTTTAAACACTGTATCAGGACCTCTGAGACAAATTGACTGATTGAGAACCCTACCCCAAACTCAGATACAACGTTAAATTCGCCTCATATACAGCCAAACTCCGAATATGATTTTGGTTTGCTTGATAATCTAATTCCTAATGAGCGTGGCTTCAAAATTGCTAATCTTAATATTAATAGCCTTTTAAAACATATAGACGAATTACGAGTATGCATGACTAAACAACAACTAGATATTTTAGCAATCAATGAAACTAAAATGGATTCTGATGTACCCCTAGATTTAATTTCCCTGGAGGACTATACCTGGGTTTTTAAGAATATGAATAGATCTGGTGGGGGTGTTGGTTTCTACATACGAAATACAATTAACTTTTTGATAAGACCTGACTTGGGTCATCATGATATTGAAGCTCTTACGATAGAAATTCATAAATATAAAACCAAACCTTTTCTAGTTTCAACGTGGTACAGACCACCTAATTCACCCATTGACTTGCTAACAAAATTCGAAAACATTCTACGGCTTATTGATACGGAAGAGAAAGAGAGCATTATCCTGGGTGATATAAATTGTGATCTATTACACAAAAATCTAGATCATATGACGAAAGAACTCAATTTCATTACTAATTTATATCAATACAAACAATTGATAGACGAACCTACAAGGGAAACTAAGAATTCGGTATCTTTAATTGGCCATTTCTATACCAATAAAAAGGAAAATATTATATTAGCAGGAGTCTGACTCCAAAATAACGATTAGTGACCATTATTTAATATATGGCATTTTGTCATTCCCATCGTTAAAAGGAGAGGAACTTATTTTGGAGTTCCGTGATTTCAAAAATTTTAATGAACATAATTTCCTACGCGATATAGCATCGTCCGAAAACCATAATTTGGATTCATACACGGATTCCAACCGAATGTGGTATATTTGGAAAAATAAATTTACTGAAATTATTGATAAACATGCACCACTTAAAACCCGTAAAATCGGTAAGAAGCGTACTCTTGGATTACGAAACAAATACTTCATAGTAAGCGAAATAAGTACTTATTAAAGAAAAAGGCCTTGAAATCTAAAAATGAAAATGATTGGCAAATCTTCAAATCAGCTAGAAATTCTTATAATAAATTAATTAAGTCGTCCATTCGCCATCATTATAGTGTTGAGATTAGGGATAATCAAGGAAATACTAAGAACATGTGGAAAGCTATTAATAACTTGATTCATAATTAAAATATCTCAAAATATAACTGAGATCCGTAACGAGAATGGTGAAATGGTTAATATTCCAGGCATACCTAATGCATTTAATAATCATTTCACTGATCTTGGTTTCATTCTTTCCCAAAACCTCTCAAGTTGCTCTATTCCACCAGAGAGTTATATCAGTGAATCAATGCAGGAATTTATTTTCTGTGAAATAACTGAACAGGAAGTTTGCCAGTTATTATCATCATTATCATCTACTAAGGCATCGGGCCTAGATGGATTACCAGCTAAACTTATTAAACTGGCCTCACCTTACATTGCTAAATCGCTGACAACAATATTTAATAGGTCTATATCCACCGGCATATTTCCATGTGAGTGGAAAAATGCAAGAGTCACCCCAATTTACAAAAGTGGCCCTAAATCTAATATGGATAATTATCGACCTATATCTATTATTTCGGTAATTGCCAAAACAATGGAGAAACTCGTACATAACCAGGTATATTCCTATTTACAACGGGCAAACATACTAACTAATGCACAACATGGCTTTAGACCTCTCCACTCCACTGTTACTGCATTGTTAAAAATGACAAACCATTGGTATCAAAATATGGATGAAGGGTTAATCAATGGAGTTGTCTTTTTAGATCTAAAAAAAGCATTTGATACCGTTGACCATGGTATTTTATTAAAAAAATTATATTTGTATGGAGTGAGAGGAAAGGCGCATGACTGGTTTAGGTCCTATCTGTCTAATCGTACCCAGTATTGTCAAGTTAATGGCAAACTGTCTGAACCACGAACAATAATTACTGGTATTCCGCAGGGCTCAATTCTTGGACCCTTACTCTTTCTTGTTTACATAAATGACTTGCCAAATTGCTTAAAAAGTGCGGATTGTGACATGTTTGCTGATGATACTCAATTAGGAACGGCAAATAAGGATGTCAAAGTAATTTTTGAAACGTTAAATGATGACCTAGCAAATATTTCAGTTTGGATGGCGGCCAACAAGCTGAGCCTGAACAAAAGCAAAACTGAATATATGTTTATTGGATCACATAAAAAACTTAAACAGTGTAACTCCGAATTGCAAATAAAAATTGGAGATACGCCTATTCAACGAGTAACCGTTACTAAATCACTGGGTATGATGGTAGATGAGACCTTAACCTGGCATTCTCAAACAGATCTAATTACAAAGAAAGTGAACAAGGGTCTTTACGTTCTTAGACGATTAAGAGATTTTGTTGATGTAAGGACTCTAGTAACAGTTTACAAAACTTTAATTCAACCACACTTTGATTACTGCTCGCAAGTATGGGGTTGTCTTGGAATTACCCTTCAAAACCAGTTGCAACGTTTACAAAATAGAGCAGCACGTATCATTACAAAGCGTGGGTATGAATTTAGATCAGCCGATATACTTAAAGAATTAGATTTACCTAATTTAAGTCTCAGAAGAAATAATCAATTATGTACTACTATGTATCAGGTAAATAATAATATGGTGCCTGATTACCTAATTGATTTATTCACGAAAACCAGTACACTTCATAATCATAAAACTAGGCAGACTGAATTTAACTTTGCACTCCCGAGGCCAAGTACCAACTTTTGTAAAAAATCATTCTCGTACAGAGGAGCTGTAGCTTGGAATGATTTATTACCTAATATAAAAAATATGGGTTCATTGTCAACCTTCAAAAGGGCTCTAGTGTCAAATAGTCGTAATAATTCTTGATAATCAATTTATCTTTTTTCTTTTCTCTTCGATTTTATTGTATTAACTTAATAAAATATTTTTATAATTGCATGTAATTATTCATACATATATAGCACGGCCTATTGGAAGATCACATCTTGTAAATATTTTAGTTTTTGTCTTTGTGAAATAGTACCGTGGGTAAATAAAGTTTGATTTGATTTGATTTGATTTGATTGCTAGTCGTTTAATTCCCCTAGACAAAGGCGAAGGTGCGGTAAGTCCTATCGGAGTAGGAGAGGTAATAAGAAGGATAAGTGCAAAATGTGTTATGAGCTTTGCAAAGAAGGACGTTGTGGAAGCAAGTGGATCGTTACAATTATGCCTGGAAGTGAGGCTGCAATACACGCAATGAACACCCTGTTTGAAGCTGATGACATTGATGCTGTTTTACTTATCGATGCTTCTAATGCATTTAATGCACTCAACAGATCTGTGGCTCTGCATAACATCCGTGTGTTATGTCCGATAATCGCTGCCTACGCTATAAATACCTACAGACAGCCAGCTCGGCTGTTTATTGTTGGCGGCAAAGAGATTGCGTCAGCAGAAGGAACCACACAAGGAGATCCTTTGGCAATGGCCTTTTATGCGATAAGTACCCTGCCTTTGATCACGAGTCTACAGGCCGCATCTACCGTGAAGCAGTGTTGGTTCGCAGACGATGCGAGTGGAGCTGGTCGTGTGACACAAATCAAAGATTGGTAGGATGCATTGAATACTCTTGGTCCAAACTTGGGATATTTTCCGAAAGACGAGAAATGCTGGATTATTGTTAAGCCCGAAAAAGACGAAAATGTGAGAGAAGTCTTCCATGGAACGAATATCAATGTAACAGTGCATGGGCAGAAACATCTGGGAGCAGCGCTAGGTTCACGAGAGTATCTGGAGGAATATGTAAATGAGAAGGTCTCTAATTGGGTCAACTAAGTGACAGCATTAGCCGAATTTGCACTGTCCCAACCACAAGTGTCCTATGCCGCATACACATTTGGTTTGAAACATCGTTGGACCTACTTCCTAAGAACCCTGCCAGTCATCCAGGACCTACTAGAGCCACTCGAAAAGGCAATATCGCAGATTCTCATCCCCGCTATCACAGATTACCAGTGCAATCCACTCGATCGGGACATTCTAGCACTTCCAGCACGTCTGGGTGGTCTGGGCTTGGAAAATCCAAGTCTTGAGGCAGAACGTCAGTATGTGTCGTCAAAAAGAGTGACAGCACCCCTTGTTGATCAGATTGTAGCGCAGTTACATCAGCTACCCGACGAGTCGCATATAAAATCAGCGCAACAAGCCGTTAGAAAAGAAAGAGTGCAAGAGTGGGAGGAGAGGGCAGAACGTATTAGAGAGAGTGCACCACCAAGAATTCAGCGTATATTAGATGTGGCTTCGGAAAAAGGATCATCTGTGTGGCTCACAGCACTTCCCCTAAAAGAACAGGGATTCAACTTGAATAAGAGAGAATTTCGGGACGCCGTAAAGCTGCGCTATGATTGGCCAATCGACGACATTCCCTCCATATGTGTATGTGGGGATACCTTCACGCTTGACCATGCCATGATCTGAAAATGTGGAGGCTTTGTAATAATGCGCCACAGTGAGTTAAGAGATCTGGAAGCGGAACTTCTCAACATTGTCTGTAGTGAAGTCCAAGTTGAGCCTGTCCTACAAGACATCTCGGGAGAGCAACTAAATGGCGGCTCCAACAGAGCACCTGATGCTAGACTCGACATTCGTGCGCGTGGGTTCTGGGAAAGTCAACGATCAGCCTTTTTTGATGTAAGGGTTTGTCATCCCAATGCTGATTCGTACAAGGAACTGGAGCTACGCCAAGTCTACAAGATACACGAAAACGAGAAGAAGCGCCTATATGCAAGGAGAGTCCTCGAAATAGAGCAAGGAACATTTACGCCACTCGTATTCACCACCACAGGCGGTATGGGCAAAGAATGTGTGAGATACCACAGTCGATTGGCAGAGTTAATTTAATTTTTAATTTATCTAACTTTGCCTTGGTAACAATATTAAGAAGAAACATCAAATTACCATATATATAAACAAGGCAGGATTTCCGCAACAGCTACAGCCAATTACTGCGGATCCTTCTTCACAATATTCGTTAAATTAGTTAAGTTTACTGAACAGTATAAACGGAAAAGGACTAAATAATAAAATCAATCAATCAATTAATGAACTGTTCAATTGACGTGTTCAATCAACCAACCAAGAGATCAAGCAATCAGACACTTACTTATAAAAATATATTTTACCATTGGTAAAAGCAAAACCTTTCCATACAATGTAATAGCACGGATATGAAGTTGGTAGCCATAAAGAAAGGAGAACTAGATTATGCGACAACTATGAGTTGGATAAGAGCCAGAACCTCATTCGCTTTATTGAGATCGGCACTTACCTGCCTGAGGGGTTCAAGGGCAAGGAAAATCATGTATGATATTAGGAACATTGGTTTTAACATTGAGAACGCCGAGAGTGCTATCTCTCAAACAATTTAGATTGTACAATATACAAAATTTAATTGTTTAGTTATTTAGCGGAATATGTTAGTTTAGTTATTTAGCTCCTTAGCGGTAAATATTTTAATTATGTAGCGGTATATGTTCCAGAGTTTGTTTTTAAAACTTAACTGTACATATCAACAAACATTTTTAATTATACCCAAAGAACAGATTATATAATATAGTCATTGATAACAAAAGCATTGTTGTATATAATGAAATGATGAATAAAGTTGTAATTATTAATAAAGTTTTCATTGTTATTATGATTATGATTATGATTACTATTATTATTATTATTATTATTATTATTATTATTATTAGTATTATTATTATTATTATTATTATTATTATTATTATTATTATTATTATTATTATTATTATTATTATTATTATTATTATTATTAACACATCAAAAATGTTATCAAAAGTTTATATACTGATTTTAAAACTTCCGTGATAACTTCTGAATTCCGCACTCCGTTCATAACTGTTGGCCATGGTGTGCTACAAAGTGATTGATTTGATTTAGAAAAGCATCAAAATCTGCAGCGTTAAATGGGGGCCCATTGTCGCTTGTCAATTCATCTGGGTAACCGTGTCTGGCGAATATTTTTTTGAGACGCGAAACAACTGCTGTAGTGGTCGTACTTTTCATTATTTCTACCTCCACATATCGAGAGTAACCGTCAATAACGACCAGAACAGTTTCTCCTGTGGGAAATGGACCACAAAAATCAGCGTATACTACGCTCCATGGTTTGGATGGTATATCAGTCATGATTAACGGAGCCTTTGGCTGTGGTGCTTGGATAGTTGCTGACTGGCAAGGTTAGCATGATTTTACAAGACTTTCTACAGCAGTATCTAGACCAGGCCACCACACTTTAGTGCGTAATAGTGCTTTAGTTTTTGCTATACCTTGGTGCCCTTCATGAGCAATGGCCAAAGTTCTACTCTGAAGAAACTTTGGAATAATAATTCGAGTGTAACGTAAAAGTATACCATTGTTAGTAATAGACAGTTCATGATAAGCTGTAACATACCTGCAGTTTGGATCATTTTTTTCATACCAGTGTCCTGTCTGCACTGCTTTAATCACAGCTTGTAACTCAGAATACCAGTGTCCTGTCTGCACTGCTTTAATCACAGCTTGTAACTCAGAATCAGTACTTGTCTCAGAAGCAATCTCCTCTAGAGCCATTGATTTGGGGACAGCATGGCTCTCAATAAAGTTGATATACTTGTCCGCAGTGTTAGCAGACCATTCACAAATTTCTGTTGGTTGACGGGATAACACATCAGCAGGTTTTGACGATCCTGGTCGGTATTGCACTTGGTACAAGTACTGCTGCATTCGGAGAAGCCATCTCCCAATGCGTGGTGGTGGTTTGGATTTAGGGCTATAAATCAGTTAAAGTGGCTTATGGTCAGTGTAGAGGGTAAATTCTTTACCTACAAGATACAAATGGAAGCGTTCACAGCCCCATACCACTGCAAGGGCTTCTTTTTCTGTCTTCGAGTAGCGGCGTTCAGTGGGGGTAAGGGTGCGACTTGCATATGAAATGTTGCGTATGGTACCATCCTCTTGTATCTGAGACAGTATGGCCCCAAGACCGACAGACTTGCATCAACAGTCAGGGTTGTTTCTTTGGCAGGATCATAGAAAGCCATGCTGCAATCCTCTGCAATTGCAGTCTTAATTTTCTCAAAAGCTTGTTGGTGGATGACAGTCCATTGCCATTTTGTTGACTTCTTGGTCAGTTCGTTCAGAGGTGCTGAAAGAGTGGCAAAATCCTTGATAAAACGAGCGCAGTAGTTAGCTAGACCAAGGAAACTTCGGAGCTGAGCAACATTCTGTGGAGTTGTCGTTTTGACTATGGGCTCAACTTTCTTGGGATCAGCAGATAGACCATCTTTGGACAAACTGTAACCATAAAACCATAAACTTGGTTGGTTGTATTCACATTTATCACCATTCAATGTGAGGCCCTTGGCATCTAGGCGCTGGAACAAAGCTTCAAGATTGCGATCATGTTCTTCCTGGGATTTTCCCCAAACTATGAGGTCATCCGCTATGTTACGAACGCCATGAAGACCTTGATGTGACTGTTTCAGACGCAGAGGAGATGCCGAAGGGTAGTCGCTTATATCGATATAAGCCTTCATGTGTGCAAAAGGTGGTAACAGATCTCGATTCTTCTTCCAATTCAATTTGATGGTAGCCAGCGCGAAGATCTAATTTTGAAAAGACACAAGCACCAGTCATGTCCTCCATGAGCTCTTCCACGGTGGGAATAGGGTGCCGTTCTCGAATTATGGCTCGGTTGGGTTGTCGATAATCACCACATACTCTAACTTCAGATGGGTTGTGGGGTTTAGGTGCTGCGACCATAGGCGATACCCACGATGTAGAACCTGATGCACGTTCTATGATATCGAGTGCTTCCGATTCTTCAATTCGGGCAGATACTTGCTTACGTAAGTGAAATGGTACTCGCCGAGGTTTTTGGGCAACCGGTTGTATACTAGGGTCAAGATGTAGCTTTTGTTTATAATCTTTCAGTTTACCAATGCCAGTAAATAGTGCTGAAACTTTGCGACCAGATCAGACGTGTTGCTTGATGTAGAAATAGGCATGGTTGTTGTTTGGTTGACATTAACATGCAAAAGTCCCAGTTCTGTTGCTGTTTCGTATCCCAACAATGACCCAGAATTTCCTTCAACAACATGAAATGTTGCAGATGTAGTTTTTGTACCATTACAAAATTGAACTTCAAACTTGCCGGTAGTGGGTAGAGGAACTGTAGAGTTGTATGGGTATATTTTGATTGACGTAGGTTCCAGTTGGAGTTTCGCATTGTTCTTTTGAATACGTTCAAAACTTTCAGAGTCTAAAATATTTGTTGTTGCACCAGAGTCAAGAACTAATCTTATATCCGTTTCGTTTATTTTCACCGTCACGAAAACACCCTTGTTTGTTTTGGTTACCTTCGTTGGACTTGGACTGAACTTGGATTGATCTTGGGTCAAGGTGAAGGTGAAGGTGTATTCGTCGCTATCGTCATTCGCCGAACTTCCGGTTCCGGTTTCTCTTGGCGTTGTTATGATTGCTTTAATAGAGTTGTCGATTTCATTCCATTTTTCCCTGTTTTGCGCACGAAATTCTGGCTTTCGCATTGGGGAACTGCGGCAAACTTTGGGCAAAATGGTTGAGCTTTCCACACGAACGACATGATTTTCCTTGTGCTGGGCAAACTTGTTTGTGACCTGGAAAATAGTTGCTACCACAGTTAAAACAGTTACCAGTGTATTTTCCGGATATATTCGCTGTTTTGCTTCCTTGTTGAAATGACTCGTTCTGGTCGCCACTTCGAGAACGATTGGTTGTAAGTCGATTCAGTTTGGTATCTTCTTCGTCGGCCATGACACTGGCATGACGATTAGCGGTTTCCTGTGCCCGGGCTAGTTCTTGTAGCTTTTCGAGAGTGAGTGTCGGCTCACGAAGTAATTTCGCACGAAATACCTTTGACGCCCAATTATAGTGATTACAAAATGATCTCGAATTTCATCTTCTACACTCGCAAACTCACATGTATCCGCTAGCTGTCGAAGACGTGTAATGAAATGATCAACCAATTCGTCAGGGCTAGGTCGGGTCTGTTTGAATACATATCTTTCGTAAATTACATTTTTCTGCGGTTGAAAATAACTATCGAGTTTCTCCACAGCTGTTTTATAATCTGTGCCAGTATCGGTTAATGTGTTGAAAATCTTATGAACTGCGGGACCAGAAACGTAGAGTAGGAGAGCACGCTTTTGTTTGGCATCCGCTATATACATGTCAAATCTTTCACGCCAGTCTTTCCATCGTTGAGCTAAGGACGACTTGTCACTTTCGGCATCAAAAGCAGGCGGTGGTGCTAAATGCGTAAGTTTCGTTGCCATATTTCTTGAAAATAATCCTCGTCGCCAAATATAATGAAGTCGGTTTGTAATAAAATAATATATTTAAATGATTAATGTGAATCAGTGAATGTCCTAGATCCGTCCTCGCCTTCCTTGCTCGATACAACAACAGTACATGTGTTCACTGTCCCGTGACTAGTCATGTGACCTGTACGTCACAATACTATACCTGTCATATTGTTTCTCAAGAACCTTCCACTGTCAGCTTTGACGCAAACGTCCTCCAGAAGAATAGCTAACCCGGCCAGTACGGGGATGGTTCCCTTCTTAAATTGTGGATGATGGCGACGACGTCATCCATGCGGTACAGAACCCTAACCCGTACTGAATTGCCTCGATTAACGTTGGGCGCATTGACAGCCTGGCATTCTAACACGATGTCCTCCACTTCTTCCGAGGCGGTAACGGCGGCTGGTCTCATGTCCAAGCAATACGGAAGGGTTCCTGTAGTCTTTTTCTTCTTTGAACGAACGTTTTTTTGTCTCACACCCCTGCCGTATTCCCTTACAAATTCTCGCATTACTTCCTTGCGCCTTTTGTCATTGTCTTTCTCCCCACTTCTCTTACTCGCAACACTTTGCTTTGTTGCACGGGAGGCCATGTTGGGCGGGTCACTTGATAATTTTCTCAGGGTAAAATGAATTGGGTCCAGTGACATACGAACAAATATGTTTACAACAAATACTTTTCTTTTCTAAATTAATAAAACAATGGATTGCAGAACGATCTGGGCTTTGGATTCCGGATTCCTCAGTTATTTGGATTCCGGATTCCACTGTCTGGATTCCGGATTCCAAGACTCAAAAATTTGGAATGAATTACCAGTAGAAATGAAAAGCAATTGCTTGTCATTAAACGCATTTAAAACCTTGCTTCGGGACAGACCTCAACATAATACTTAAGTCTTATCATTTGATTATGTGGTGTACTGTGTACTGTGTAATGTGTACTGTGTAATGTGTAATGTGTAATGTGTAATGTGTAATGTGTAATGTGTAATGTGTAATGTGTAATGTGTAATGTGTAATGTGTAATGTGTAATGTGTAATGTGTAATTTGTAATTACTATATACTAATTGTAATTATTAACCCAACCTTTTTTGTAAATATGTATTGTGCAACGGCCCCTTGGGAAACTAATAATAATAATAATAATAATAATAATAATAATAATAATAATGCGTAGGGCCAATGAAAATTGATATCATGTTTCTCGTCCACAATTTTCAAAAATTTGGAGCGGGATTTTTTCATTCTTCATTTTTCATTATTTTTTGTATTTGAATTCTGCTTAAGCTTGTCAATAATTTCCTTGACCCAGTAAAAAACCCCATAAAAATCTGAATTACATCGGTCTATAATTCATTTTAATTTAATGACTTTAATACCAGGGCTGACATGAAAAATAGAGGCACTCTGGCGAGTAATTTCTAAAGGTCAAGGTTGGTTTTGATTTTTGCGCACATACCACAGACGTAAATCCCCACAGAAACGGCTAGAACGAATGAACAATTGCTATGGCTACTAATAAAATGTCACTACTGTATTCATGCCTATATTCAGCAGTTTTACCTAGCATAATGTAGGCTATACAACTATTAAACTATATAACCATTAACTCCACGATCGCTATAGAAACAATCGCCTAGAAGATTACAATGGCATCTCGTAAAAGACAGTACGGACATCGCGTTCGGTGCGAGGAATGCAATAAGGAAATCGACAGCGATTATAAAGAGGTGCATTCTCGATTTGTTCACAATGGAAAAGAAGTAAAATGTCATCCAGTGATGGAATCATTGGATTCATCCCAGTCGAAAATCAATACTTTCTTTGTAAAAAGTAACATGACAACCAAGGACAATGACCTGCAATATGACCTAACCCTACTTGGAACTGAATCGAGTGGTAGTAAAGATTCTGCAGTCACGGACTCACGGTGTCTTTTGATGAAGATCTATCTGAGAAAAATGTGAAGGAACCTATGAGCGAAGACCAAACGGAACCAATGACAACGTTCATTGATATTGATGAATTAAATTCACTGTCACAGCTCAGGGAAAATAGTGAACAGAATACGGTGACGGACAGTGAAAATGTTACACCATCTTTAAGTCGAAATGCGGACAGGGTTGCCTTCCTCCTTAACTTTAATCTCTCGATCCTTATCCTCGCCTTTTATCGTGTCCCATAAAATTTCCACCTATTTTAGTTTCTACATAATTGTAATTTCCCTAGGTTTTTACGTACATGTTCATTACAGGGGTCGGAGTTAAGAAATTAAGAACAACAATTTTTGGAATACTAGTCCTCTCATTATTTAGGCTACACATTGTCTTGCACCAGTACTTGTCCAATTACCCATTTTATACCAAAAAATGTTGTTACGTTAGTAATTACTTTCTCTTTCTTTGTGAATCGTAATGCCATATATTTAGATTATAATTGAAATGGCTAGGGACGAGATATTTCTTTTTACATCAATCTTCAAAGGAAAGCCTTTCATTTGTAGTCTTCTTAGATTATATAATTTTATGATGACGTCACGAAATCTATGACGTCATGTCATTCGAGCAAATTCAGCCCGCCCCCCCCCCAAAAAAAATAAATGAGCCCGTACGCCTATGAGATACAATTTGAGTTGCGCTTGCGGAATGCAGCAATAAAACTTTGATCTGGAGATCAATTTGGTGTTTTGTTAAGAGTATTTTTCAAAAATAATGAATAATGAAAAATTTTCGTGCGGCAGATAAATCCCATGCGGGCGGTACAGAAGCCCAGAGGCGACAGCATAAAATTACTTTTGTATTTTGTACTTTGTGTTTTATATTTTGTTTTTTTGTGTTTTATATTTTGTATTTTTGTGTTTTATATTTTGTATTTTTGTGTTTTATATTTAGTTATATTTTGTATTTTATATTTTTGTGTAATTATAATGTTCTTAGACGTGGGATTATAGGCATTTAGTGATACAAATTGTGATACTTTAACAACAATGTCAAAACATGATTACAAGCTATAGAGACATTTTATTAAAGAGCAGTTATTTATCGCGCGCGCATTACTAAGATACGCATACCGCGAATTCGCCATGCAGACATTAGCATTGCTCCCGTAATAAGGCTCGGTTCAGACGACGACATTTTCAAGCGCTTCATTTCTTACGGCACAAGTTCGGCAACTGATTTAGAGTTTAGACGCCGCTCTTCTAGATCTGTCGTACTTATATATCGTTGTATTACGGGTTCGGCGCATCGCGTGTAAAATATGCGTATCTCAGTTATTGACATACGCGCGATATATTCTTTATTTAAACAAGCGTTCAGTATGTAACACGCATTTCGCGCAGTAAAATACAATGTCTCTATAGCTTGTAATCATGTTTGACATTGTTGTTAAATATCACAATTTGTATTACTAAATGCCTATAATCCCACGTCTAAGAACATTATAATTACACAAAAATATAAAATACAAAATATAAAATACAAAATATAAAATACAAAATATAAAATACAAAATATAAAATACAAAATATAAAGTACAAAAATACAAAATATAAAACACAAAAATACAAAATATAAAACACAAAAATACAAAATATAAAACACAAAAATGTAAAATACAAAAGTAATTTTATGCTGTCGCCTCTCGGCTTCTGTAGGGCGGGGACGAGAAACATGATATCAATTTTCATTGGCGTAGACATGGTCTCTTGTCTCATCGAATTTGCATTTTGATTTCGGCCGCGTATACGCTACGACTCGTCATGATGTAATTATATTGTATCTATACATTGAAAGCGATGTCTACAGAAAGTGGATTCGTTTGAATTTTCTTCAAAATCTCTCGAAACCAAATTCTACCCCGACGAAGCTATAATTTTCATGGTGTTTACATATCGAAAGATCGCACTGTGTCACACTGCATACGTCATTGGCCGCGCGATGGAATGTCAGGAATTTCGCCAGTAGATAGCCTCAAAATCGAACTTTAATCGTAAAATTAACAAACTCTGGTTCGAATTTTTCAACAAGATTGGTATTTTTATGATCGGAAAAGACCAAATTTTCAGAAAATGCGAAAACTCGGTATCGAAATTTTCATTTCACTAAAGAAGACCCCTCACTCATGTCACGGATCGGACCAGTTAATTGTTACAGATTTCTGCACTGTTGTTACAGAATTTTGTACTGCTGTTTGAGATTAACTGCATTAAAATCAACCAATCATAGTCGAGTGATATTTTTATGTATAATCGTGACGTTATATATTTAAAGGTCACATTTTTAAAATGTTATACATAAAGATCCCGGATGCATGAGGATTAATTAACAATTATTCGCTGAAGGCCATGCAGGTGATTATCGGTGAATAAAAACGAGTGTATCTAAAAGTCGAGGGTCGAGAGTCGAGAGTAAAGGTCGAGAGTCGAGAGTAAAAGTCGAGAGTCGAGAGTAAAAAGTCGAGAGTAAAAAGTCGAGAGTAAAAAGTCGAGAGTCGAGAGTAAAAAGTCGAGAGTCGAGAGTAAAAAGTCGAGAGTCGACAGCAAAAAGTCGAGAGTCAACAAAAATGTCATCAGAAACAACAAAGTCAAAACATTTTTAATTAACACAATATATAGCCGTTCCGTATTACTCAACGGCTGAACTACAAACTGCATGGTACGAAACGTCAATAATATAAAAACGTGATGCTTTCATCTTGCTAAAAGTCATTTCATTAAATTTTGCTGCCTTTCAATGTAGCACATAAACGGAATTTTGACAGACAGTCGCAGATAAAACATTGTCTATTCTCATGACAAAGTTCAACGTTTTTACCGAGAAACTTCAATGTTTGTGATAATCATTTGATGTTTTCAATGCCGGATGATTCCAGCTATAGACTAATTTTGATCTAGGCAAGAAGAACAAAATCCATATTTGGGCCGAAAGTGGTGCATTTTCCCGCGCGTGATAAAAATTAATGCAAAATTTGCAAATTCCGAAGGTGATATTTTCCGCATTTTACAACATTTTTCGCGGGCAAACTTTGCAATTTTACTAATTTTAGCATGCTCTTTCTAGCTGTGGTGATGGATTTTGTCCTCATGTCTTGCCTAGATCAAAATTAGCCTATAGCTGGAATCATCCGGCATTGAAACCATCAAATGATTATCACAAACATTGAAGTTTCTCGGTAAAAACATTGAACTTTGTCATGAGAATAGACAATGTGTTATCTGCGATCATCATCCTTAGTTGCAAGCGACGGTAGTTGCCGCAAGCAAGGTTACAAGAGCCCGGAGCTGGGGCCGGTTGTATAAAACTCTTAATCACTTTTTTAATCACTTTGTAGTTAAATAGTGATTAACTCTCAAATACGCGCTTCTTATTGGATGACGTTTGCACTTAACCATAGTTAACTTTAATCACTTTTTTATACAACCGGCCCCAGGCTGTCAAAATTCCGCTTATGTGTCTGCAGTGAAAGGCAGCAAATTGCTATAAATGAATTTGATGAAATGACATGTTAAAAATTTTATTAAGACGAAAGCATCACATGTGATATTGGTTTCGTATCCAGTCTTCAGGGCCAATAAGGAAAAGTACATTTATT